GATCTCTACCTGCCCCCACCCACACACACACCCTGGGTGTCATATCTAGCAGTAGCTGGAACTCCGTCTCTGTTGTCCCATCTCATACCAGGTAACTTCTGCTAGGTTCTAGCTCTTTCTGGACATCCTACAATTTCTCTACAGCCCTCAGGGTGTTGCCTTCATTTAAAAAAAAATTATGGATTGTTTGATTCTTTCTTGTATCTCCCCTCAGCTCTCTTATCACTTATATGTCCAATTTCCTGTATTAAATTCTCACTGTTTGAAATACCTAGAATAGTAGTTTCTGTTTTCCTAGCTAGACCTTGACTATTCATAAAATGTCCGTGTGCATGTGTATATGTTTGTGTGATATAAGTCAATTTGTATAAAATATTATAGAAGGACATGTGTGAGTATATGTGTGTATATATATATACTCATGTGGTGGGTATATAAATGCATATAAAAGGAATATGGAGAGATAGGTTTTCAAAGAGTAAAGGGAGGATTTCAATTTTCTCTCCCTATATTTTTATTTTCATAAGTTTTTACAACAAACAACTTTGTAGTTTTAAAGCATATAGTTATTTTGTAATGACTCAAAGATTCCTAACTAACTGCCCATCTGGTGGCAGCTTTAATGTTCTCTAAGTTTTACATACAGGGCATTTTAGTGTAGTAGCAGGGATCTTCCTTTCCCCACACCTCTAGACGGCTCCTTTCCTTAAGCAATATGAAAAATGTATATCTACTTGGATCAATTAAAATATTTCAGATTTAATTTTCTTGTGACAGAATCTATTTTATTCAATGTGATCTAACAAATACTGTTCCCCAACATGCTCATCTACATCTGATTTCAACAAACTCATTCTACAACTACTGAATGCCATGTTATGTGGTTCAAAATGAATATGAGGATAAGTATGAGTTTGCTGTGTGGTGGGCTTGCCATGTTGTTAGTGATTTTTTAGTGCTAAAATTTGTCAAGTGCTAATTTTCTAAGGAATAAGACAATTTTCTAAAGAATAAGACAAAACAATGCTCTTAAATTCAGAAATGTGAAGGAAGAGCTATAAAATTAAGCCTTCACCCTAAGAAGTTCGTAATTCTTAAAATCCCAAGAGAGTTTGACAGTTCTGATATCAGAATTCCATTTAACACGGAAATCCCAGCAATATTCTGGTGATAAGATTTTAGTGGGTTTATGCAGAAAGAAATACTTGTTTAAGTGGCTTTCATCATGCCACACTGCTTCAATGTTATTTTTCTTGTCATTCATGATTCCTTTGGTGCATTCCCTGGCAATATTGAGAACCTGAATGGGAGTGCCACCAAAAACAGCAGCATGGTAATAAAAATCCCCCTTACCCATAGGTATATAAGCTTCTGATAACTGATTTCTCTCATAAGGTAACATCATAGGAGTTGCCTGATACCAATAAGTATGTAACTGAGCTACTGACTCTCCCAGAGTCTCCAATCCATATTTTGTTTTAAATATTTGGTCCACGTCCATACAGAAGAGGAAGTCAACTTCATATTGGATGTGATTGACAATGTGTTCACCAATGGTCTTCATGCGCATCATACTGATATCTTGCCATCTCTTCTCTTTCTCAATTTCAAAAACTTTGAATGTACGGAGGGGATTCAGAGGTATCCAAGGCATCTTGGAGAAGTTATCTACCATGACATAAATTATGACTTTCTGGTCAATCATAAAAAACTTATCAGCGGATAACAAAAACCTTCGCAAATAGAAATCAAGATATCTGTGAATAAATAAGAAGTGATTAAGTTCATTTTCTTGTATTTTAGTAGAACACATGTTATTTAAATTATACTGACTTTAGCTTATCCAGCAATGCTACTAGCAACCAAATATTATAAATGCTTCTTGAGTTGTATTTAAGTGATATAGAAGAAAGTGAAATTATCTACCTTTCCTCTCCCTGACAGGGTTCTACAGATGATAGGACAGAAGAGTTCCTCATGAGAAGGAATGAAACTTGGTGAGATCAGAAAACTAGCAGAGCCCAGCCTAAAATGAGAGCCAGAGTTTTTCAGGGTTATCACAGCGATGAGCACCTGCTCTGGGAGTTATAGGCAGGAAAGATATTGAGTCATTGTAGGGGGTGTTATCATTGTCTGTGTCTTGTTTTACGAAGTCACTTATGCATACAAGATCAGAGGTGACATAGTCAATAATCCACCATCGGCATCATTTTTCTTATTTTTTCTTGTGTCCTTTATTAGGATGCTAGAATAGCTGGGCTGGAAAACAAAAGTTTCTCTTTTCTAGTCTCTCAAGCCAGTAAAAGATTCTCAGAGTAAACAGCCTTAGGTAAATGCAAAAAAAGGAAAGGTGGCTCACCTTAAATAATGTGGCTCACCTTAAATAGTGTTTAATAATCCTTAAATTCAGAATAAATTCTGAATATTGATCTAAGTTTTAAGAAATATAGCAGATTAAAGGTCAGGAGAAAACTTGCTAGTTTCAAATATCTAAAATTGTTAGGTAAATTATGAAAAGTGTCACTTAAACTATTCTACTGAGCTAGAAGCTAGCAACCCAAATCCAAAGAAGT